TGAGCTTACTTTTTTAGTCTCTAAAAGCTTAGTGCAAAAAGGCTTGTACTCCTGACTATTATCATGATCATCCACTTCTTTACGGAGGGTCTTTACAGCTGATATTATCCCTTAATATTTAAGAGGAGAGACATTTAAGCTGTATTTTAATTGAAAATCATTCAAAGAGAGAAAGTTGCTGCTCCCTGGTTTTTGTAAATGTTTCACTTTTGTAATTCCTTTTGCAGACATCTATTTAGACCTTTCATCAGATGAACTCAGATTTGATCATTGGGAAAAACAAAATGTGTGGTGGTTCTAGAAAATATTGATACCCACCCCTAGGAGGGTTATAACTTATTGCAAATTTCAAGAGGGATAGGGGTCTCAAAAGGCAATTTTTTAAAGGAAAGTATGAAAAAAACTGTAATTTCTAGACAGACTGAGAGAGGGGGGTCGAAACCAAAAAAAAATTCATATGAGGGGTATGGGTATTTTAGAAAGACCAAGCAGTGTCTGTTATGTATTAGTTTAATAGTAGTCTGGTCAAAGTATCTACCAGTCAGTATAATTCAGGGAATCATGGGGAGGGCGAGATCTGAACTTGAAATGCAAAAATGATTTGAAATTATAGGCATTAGTTGATGTTCTAGGCAATATGGCTGGCGGTGGTTCAGTGGCCTCATGGTCTAAATGCACTCATCTTCGGATCGAGCAGTCCGGGTTCAAGCCTTGGCCAGGGACATTGTGCTGTGTTCTTGGGCAAGACACTTTATTCTCACAGTGCTCTTTCCACCCAGGTGTATAAATGAGTACCAGCAAATTTAATGCTGGGGTTAACCCTGCAATGGACTAGGATCCCATACTGTAGGGACTAGAAATACTCTTTTCTTGCTTCATGCTACAGAGACCGGGATAAGCTTCAGCCTGATGAGCCACTTGGCCCCTGTGCAGACTTAATCTTATCTCATCTTACTCCCAGTCAAGGTCTTAAATGCACTAACTGACTACAGTCAGACTTCTCTATAATTTTTCATTTTCAGTCAGAATTTTCTAAGAAGTACAACAACGTAAAAAAGAACTTGTAACTGGAGATCCAATCCAGGTCAACAGCGTTAAGCAGGCAGTACTCATGACCACTGGTCCACCAAGGCTGACTGCCAGCTAGTGGAATTTCTAAAGCATATATAAACAATAGCCTCCATTTGGCACAGACATATGCTCAGATATTTGTCAGTGAACATTATCTGTTCGGAGAAGCAAACAGTTTTCTGAGAGTCTAATTCGAGGAAAACTTTGAGTTTCCAAGAAGCGAACAGATAATGAGGAACAGATAATGTCCAAAGACAAATATCCCAGCATATTTTCAGGCCAAATGGAGGCTATTGTGTTTATTATCCTTCAAATGTTTTTCACAATACGCACAGTTTTGAAAATCAGGGAATATCACTCACATATTCCCCAGTATTAGTTGGCGAATATTTAGTCATGTGATGTGTTTAGGCCGATCATGCGCAAGCGAAAATATTTGATGGATTATGAGTGATAATACTGTAAACAGTAAACAGGCTAACCAGAGCGCTATTCAGGCCAACTGGAGAGCTATTCAGATGACCAGAGTGATATTCGGGCTAACCAGAGTGCTATTCATGCAGACCAGAGTGCTATTTAGGCTAACCAGGTTCCTACTCAGCCTAACCTATAAAAAAGGTTTTGACTGCTGGTCAACTAGTCTATAAAAAAACCTTGACCGGCTGCCAATCATTTAGACATTTCGTAAAGAAATACTCTAAACAATGGTTACATTCAGTACTGACAGTATAAGCAATGAACACGCATCTGAAAACAATACTGACAAATATCAGATTTATCGACAGATACCAGCTGCTCTCTTGTTAAAGTGGTTTCCAACAACAGAACTATCTCTACTTGGACAGATGCGGCCCTATATAACGACCTAACAACCGTGAAGCTAGAAAATTAATTAAGCATATGCTTTGCATGTAGATCTGGAGGGCTTTAGCACGAGTCAGACTACGCGAAGACTAACAATTTTACATCTCTGCTCGAGTGTTAGTGTACTTACAAAGGTTTTGTGCGCTAAATAAACGAGTTTTAGTTCAAGCTCATGTGCTGTATCGGCGTCGATCGATGTTGAAAATCATAAATTAGATTATACGCAACTAACCTAAGTTTGAATGCCAAAAATTTGGCATATCTGATAAAATTAACCTTACCCGTGGTCGCGATGAGAGTTTGCTATGCTAGCGGCCATTTTTAACGCTGCTTTACAACCTTCATTCCTCAAAGACAATTGCCAAGTGGTGGGAGCGGAGTTCAAGGTAAAACAGTAACGAAACTAGCTCCGATTTTTTCACACCTGCCGCAAAACTAGCAGATTGTTTATTGCTTTTTCCGGTCTTTCATTGTCGTTCCCAGTAATTCTCGATGCTTCCACCCTGACCCTTCCCCAGTGGGGTTAATAATGCCAGGAGGCGTGGCCAGCTGTCATGTCAGTCATGTCACAACAGAGAGCCGCGAACAAAGAAACAACACTGAAAAAGTTTTTGTGGTCGAAAGGAAAAAATCTTTGCGTTTCCTCACAGCCAATACATTGAAATGCAGAACAGGAAACATGTTTATTTACGCTCTCGAACTTTGGCTGCACAGTGGAGCATTCTGAGTTGAGAAAAACGATCCGATTCACCTGTGTGTATTATACACAGAACCAGAGGAAGGAAGATGGCTTCGGCAGAGGGTAATAAAATCATGGTGTTTCGTCCAACTTTAGCCGAATTTTCAAACTTCCCTGCGTACATTCGTAAGATGGAAGAGATGGGCGCTCATCGAGCGGGTGTAGCTAAGGTAAGCTTCGTTGGACAAGTGTGAAAATTGCTTTTCTTTTCACCTAGCAGTCTGTTTACACTCCGTCTAGGATCTAACTGCACGTGGTGAAGACGGTTTTGAGCGCTGCATCGATCTTGTACATGTGAACTCTTTATTCTGTACATATCATAGCCATGTGCTTTTGTTTGAATTACCTATTTTAGGTCATACCACCAAAGGAATGGGTTCCTCGGAAAAATTATGAAGATATCGACATCACAATTCCTGCGCCAATACTTCAAGTTGTTACGGGAACACAAGGTGAGCTTTTGAAAGTAAGCTTATACAAATCACAAAACCAAAGAGCTAGGAGAGAAAAAACCTAGAAAGTGGAGGAGCCACGCGGCAATTAATTAAAACGCTCACTGGTAAATTGGAATGCAGTTCATAAAGAGCTAACTGAAATATAGACAAAAGAACCTAACTAAAATGTTATGGTGACAGTAAGCTACTTATTACAAGCGTAAAATTAATCCAAGCTGATAACTTAGCATTTTCTTTGACACGAAAGTAAGAAAACGTCTGAATTAAGTTACTTGTTACCGAGGAGTTTGCGAGTCAAAAGTCATATTGATTGACTGATATTTTAAACATGTGTCATATCGAAACCAAGATAGGTATTAAGTCAATTCTTGGTGAGATATTTTATTTTGAAGTCTCCATTGTCAGTTGTCCCATAGATCACTGAAGCATTTCAAAAGGCAAAACAAAAGCAATTCGCCTTTCACAAGCTTGTGTTTGTTGTTTACAAACTTAACGCTGTTAGAAACTAAGTACTTAACTGAAGTTTTATTGTCCGCAGTTAAAGATCTCTTTATCTACTCATGGAAAAAGAAACCATGTGTTCTTCCAGCCCTCAGTCACATACACTCGCTCCTTTATTAATGCAACACACGTTTTTTCATTATTGATTTTCAATCTCGTGGGCGCGTTTCCGTTTATCTGGCATGATCATGGCTATAGCTTCTTTAAATCATTAACAACAGGAAATGATAACACTGTTGAAACACTAATTCCAGTCAGCAAAAAGACATTCCTGATTATAGTTTGCAAACTAAAACTGTGAGAATTTCTATATGATGACATAAACCAGATTGTCTGTATAAACTAAGTGATAAACGTAAGCTTATATTTGCAATTTCCGATACATTTTGAAATTTGGAAACAAAGGTTTTTAGACACACCTTTTCCTCTTGTTAATTATACTATCACCTCTGAAGTTGCTGTTAATTGTTATTGAGTCAGTGCTTGTCAATCAACCTACCTGATACGTTTTGACCCTTTAATCTAAAAGTGCGTGTCTCTCTGATTGCCCCTGACCCTTAAGCTTAGGGTGGTGGTTGAGCTGTGATGAGAAGATAGTGATGTTAGCTTTTGTCCAAGTCTCTTAAAGCTCTTCCCGTTATTAGTGATTTTAAAGCTAGAGACAGACAAAAACATGGCTTACAGCACTGTACTGTAGCAACGCCTGTTGGAGATTATAGAGGGCTGTGTACGTCTCAAAATGACCAGAAATCTAAACTAGTCCTAACCCAGAATTGCCTAAAATTATTGTCTCACTGGGGGATTTAAATTTCATTGTGGGTGTGAGGGAGGAAATAGATATTAATTTATGTTGATCTACTTTTGGCTCTGAGAGTGTCTGCTGCCATACATGTGTGTCGTCCCTGTCTCAACTCTCTTGAATTCTATCAGGGATTCAGCTTTTGAGGTTTTAATGGGTTGTGCTACAGGTCCAATGAACTCTTTTATAGACATCTGTTTCTTAGCACCAAGAACGGTTAAAACGACACCAGAGAAGATATCAGACTCCCACCCTTAGCCTGTAAAAAATATAGATCTGGCCCCATGCCAGTTGCTCGAAGGGTGGACAACGCTATCCACTGGATAAATCTATCCACTGGATAAGTGTTAATAAAACAACCCACAGTGTCTGCTGGATAGCGTTTTATCCTGTGGATAGTGTTATCCACCTTTCAAACAACCCAGGCCTGGATTGCTTAACCATGTACCTCATAAACACTGACTTGTGTCCTAGAAGGCAGTACAGGAAATGTGTAAAATACAATAGGCTCTGTATCTAGATCTTTACCTGGTAACCTAAGGCAAGATTTTGAGAGCCTACATGCACACTGTTCTACATATCGAGTAATTATAAAGTTGAACTTCACTATTTCAAACTCTCAGGGGAATCTAAAAATAACTCAAAATAGCAGCAGTTCAAAATAGCTGATAGTAAATGACTGAAGAACAAATTCAAGAGAAATGGTTTTGAGTTCAGAATAACGGGGAATTCAAAATAACTGAGTTCCAATTACCAGGGTCCGGCTGTATTGACAAACATCAATTGAGCAGTACTTTGTGTTCACAATATTTTTTGCAGTGTTTGTATGTATTTTCTCTAAATTTTTGGAAATGTTTTTGATTCCATGATTCACAGTAATTTGTTTATTAGTTTTCCAGCATGAATAATATTAGCTGCTCTTCCAGAACAACATTTATCAGTGAGAGTTTTCACCCCTCATATATTGTAATAAAATGTTTGTTATTTGAATGAAATAAATAAAGATGGTTGTTTTTCTTGTCTGCTAGGGCTTTTCCAGTTGTTTAATGTACAGAAGAAGGCAATGTCTTTTAGTGAATTCAAGAAGCTTGCCAACTGTGAAAGGTAGTCTAATTGATGTGTTATATCTTAACAAGTCTAATCTTTCATACAGTATTATTTCAATTATTTTAAATTATATAAAATTATTTTTTTGTCCTTGTCTTGTTTTGCATTCATCAAATCTCTATTACTAAAAGCAAATGAACAAGCCGTTGAAGGCACATGCTACATGTATACTCTGTCATGGAAACTGCTTGTATGTGGTTTGTGTATGGTACTGATGTGCCCCTGCAAGAGGGAAGACAGGGCGATACTTGACAAGGATTTAGATACTGAAGTTCTCACACACTGAATGCCATTTGTCTGCCACACAACAATGCAACTGCACTTTATTGACAGGAAAAGAAAAACAAAAAACTGAGATGATCCCTCAACCGACCTTTAACACAAACAGGACCTCCTTCGGGACTGTCCCTGGCTGGACAACTTGCCACAGTCGGTCCATGTATGTCTACAAAATCTGGAACGTCACTATTAATATCATCGTTCAAGTCGTGTTCTGACATTCCTAGTCTATTGCACAATTCCATCAAACCTGGTTCAGACTCGGTCTGTGCGTCCAAATCATAGTTCCAATCAATATCATCATCACAAATGAAACATGGTTGAGAAGCTATCTTAGTATGTTTTTCCCGTTGTGGTTGAGGGGATAGGTATGCGCCAGTTTTTTGCGAAATGCCCGGGTCTTCTGCAACAAAAACACCCTTCGTTTTGGCTTGAATCCAATTTTTACCTTGACGCAGGAATAACTATCCGCCTCGCACTGGAGGAATTCTGACCCGAGGTGAACGACTGCTGAGAACAGCCAATTAGTTGTACCCCAGGTTGTACTTCTTGCTTTCTGCCTTCAACGTTTTGCTCTCTTTGACTGCCCACCTGATGCGCTTCTCATCATCAGAGTCGCAAGCTAAAGGCTCCTGAACATAACAGTCGACAGCCTCTTAGCCATATTTTTCAGCTAACATAATATATATATTTCGTTCCTTGAGGACTTTCCTTCTTCCTCCAAGGCATCATTCCGGGCTTTTTCGTCACTGCTGGAGGCAGCCACATCCAATTTATCGAGCACTTTCTCATTTAGTTCATACTGGATCTTTTTGCGTGGGATTGCTCTGTAGACGGCCGAGACTTCGGTTCCTTTTCGAGGAATTGCAGACGCTCCTCGCTCCTTTCATGAGCCTCAAGGAGCCCACGATGGTGTGTCATGCGGCAAGTCCGAGCGGCTAGAAGACTTTGACTTTGAGCCGCTAGAAGATTTCGACTTTGAGCGGTGTTCTCTCCTTGGTGGAGAATTATGGCAGGAACCTTTGGATGACTCATAGCAAACCTCTGCCCCTTGGAGTTCGCTGCGTGTACATTTTCAAGACTCCCTTGCTGGACTAACGTTATGGGCCAAAAGACGTTGAATGGCCCTCATTAGGTGACATAACTCGATAACAGCGAATTGAAGTGCTGTTTCTTACTCGAAAATGAACGAAAACTGTTGCACTGTCCGGCAAGAAAATAAAAACTGATTCACATGACTGAGCGTGAAACTGACATCCTGACTTGTACCCAGGTCCCCCATTCAGTGTGAGAGAACTTCATTTCCTGCCTCTTTCGCAAGCTCAGCCGGCAGGAAAAACATTTCTGCGGGCTTGCTCACCACCAGAACCTGTTTAGACACAGATCTCTGATTGTCTTACCCTATTTGTGACAGAAATCCTTGCTTTGAAACCCTTTCTACGATATTTAGATTGGCATAATAGGAAAACGTATTTCAGAGATCTATAAAATTATAAATATATGTTTGCATACATCCTATGGCCTGTGTTTGTGAGGCTAGTGGCCCATTGGGCCGGGGCGTATCTCTGGTTTCCAACCAGTCCAGAATTTCTACTCCCCCCTGGGTGGGATTCCAGTTCATTGCAAGGCCACATTCCCATATGGACACACATGGGAATGGTAATCCTGTAATCTTGTACAAACAAGGTCATACAAGGGATTGCCTTCCTCTCTGTCTGGGTGCAAGCCATCTGTGTTCTCTGCCCATTTACTAGAACTTGATTTAACTTAACTTCGCAACCACCTTGTTTGCAGGCATAAACCTCCTACAGGAGACCCAGATGAAATTGAGAGAAAGTACTGGAAAAATGTAACATTCAACAATCCAGTCTATGCAGCTGATATCCCAGGAACTGTTTACGACAAGGATGTTAATGAATGGAACATTGGAAGATTAGGAACAATTCTTGACTTGATAGAGGATAAGTATGGAGTTCACATTGAAGGAGTGAACACACCATATCTTTACTTTGGTATGTGGAAAGCAACATTTGCCTGGCACACAGAAGATATGGATCTCTACAGTATCAACTATTTGCATTTTGGAGCTCCCAAAACATGGTGAGCAGTCACTCTGGTGTTGCTAAAAAGTTTGGCAAAGAGGAGGTTCCATAGCTCCATAGAGTACAGGAACAGTTAATGCTTTTTCTATTGGAAAGCAAACTTCTTGCAGTCCCAGTCATTTTTTGCACAAAATAATTCATTTTTTTTATCTATCCACCACAAAAGTTGGAGGATTCTTTGAAAATTGAAATACAGCCAAATTTCTTTTGTATGGATGCCAAAGAGACAGAGCACTGTTTCTACAGTATTTATGGAGGACTGTTCATATTATATTTTTGAGGTAGAGATATATACAAAGTATGATTTCTGATTTATCTGGTAACAAATCAGAACTGTCCTTGACACGAGTTGACTGTGTTATGGAGGAGTCTGAAAGGAGGTGCTTGAGATATCTACTCCTTGTCTTTTATCTATAGCATAGACAACAATTGATTGCTCAAACTTGTCAGATAAGATGGCAGATGGTGGGGTTCCACATTGCTAAATATTAATAAAATTTATCTCCTTTAGGTACGCCATTCCTCCTGAACATGGTCAGCGTTTAGAAAGACTTGCTGCTGGTGGGTCATACAGCTCTACCGATTAATGATTACTAAGTTGATTAAGTTTGAATCTCAAGACAAATCTTTCAATGCCCAGGACTTCATGTTGAAAATGGGATGTTACTGAATCACTTACAGTTTATTAAACCCATCATACTAACCAGGACTCAAAAAAGACTTGAATTCCTGCTTGCCCTTGAGACAAGCGGCTCTAAAATTTTGCTTGCCCTGGGTATAAGTCTTAGTTTGTTTAGTTGGCACACGACTTGCCTGATCCCTTGCCCATTGGGCAAGTAAGAGTGAAAAGTTACTTGCCCAGTAGACTACGAGTAGTCCCTCTTCCGCTTAGTCTATCGTGTGTGATGCGAAAGAAAACCGCGAGAAAAAAATGATTGCGTGGAATCCTGGGGGCGAGGAGTGCTCCTTTTTTCTCGCGGTTTTCTTTCGCATTACCCTTGATGGACTAAGCAAAAGAGGGACTACTAGGATTTCGTGCGGCCATTTTGTTCTCGCGGTTTTCTTTCACGTCATGCTTGATGGAGTAAGCGAAAGAGAGACTATTCGTTGTCTACTTGCCCAGAGGGAGAATCTACTTGTCCTGGATGACTGGACAGCACTTTTTTCAAGCCCTGGCTAACCCGCACCAAGTTAACTTCATACCCGAAAAATCCTTTGCACAGGGCTGTCACCAAGTTTAATTTTTGGAGCCGTTGGATGAATTGGCCATCTTTTCAAAAGCATCAGAAGAATAGCCCAGTTGAAATAATGAATTAGATGGCAATTTTCATCTGCAACCAGCTGTTTATGACAAGCCTGTTTGCACCTTGCTTAACTTGAGTAACCTTGTGAGGGACAATTCTGTTGGGTTTTCATGTGGCAGAGTTTGCACAGCCCTACGACACCAAAGTCTCACAATTAGAGAATTTTTTTAAATTTTTGAATTTACATGTAGCTGAGGTTCTTGGCGATAAGGTAAATGGGCAGAAAAATCTTTATCAGAATTTATGAATGTATGAAAAGGAATTTCATTCCTAAGATTTATGTTTAAAAGTACCTACAACATCAGGTAATTTCAATCTTCCTGATGCAAAAATGCTTTATTTGAAACTTTTATTTCTATACAGGATTCTTTCCTGGAAGTTTCCAAAGCTGTTCTCAATTTCTCAGACATAAAATGACGATCATCTCTCCTCAAGTGTTACGGAAATTTTCAATTCCTTATGATAAGGTATGATTACATGTATATCGTGGTGTGCTTTGTTATTTTGTCCCCCTCTGTGATGTCTGGAAGTTGTCTGCATTCAATCCTGCTTGCCTTACATCCAGCACCTATCTTTGGTTTCAGTAACACTAAACAACCACAGTAAAGCTTTAAGTTTAACTTCAATGGATTTTCCACTAGTGTACTGTTTGAGCATATAATACAACTGGGAGTATCTCTTCAAGACTGACTCCTGCAAAGGATGCTTGTCCATCACATGGTTAGCCCCTAGCTCTTACATAGCTGGTACTCTGTGAAAGTATATTGTCTTGCTCAGGAACATAACACAATGATGCCTGCAAGGGTTCGAACACAGATTTCTTAATCCTAGTCAAGCACAATATCTGTAAGGTTGCAGTGCCTTGTCTGCCTGTTTATAGTTATTGAATGCTTCATGAGGTATCACTGCTCAATTTTAACACTTACATTTTTTGTGTTTTCTGTCAAATGTTGTAAAACTGTTGTAAAAGGATCAATCACATTAGCCAATCTAAACTTTACAGTGTTGCCCGTACTGACAAGGACACATTGTTTTTTGTGCATTAAGTGTCCTGAGCTAATAATGAGAAAAAATATATAATGAGCACCTTTCACTGGATGATCAAAAATAGTGGTGTAACCAGACTGTAGATTAGCACAGTGTAGTTGAGAAGAAACTACTACTACAATGTACATAGATTCTAGAAATTGTTTTTCACTGAAACTTTCGATAACTTGGGTTTTGCAGATCACACAAGAAGCTGGCGAATTCATGATTACATTTCCTTATGGCTACCATTGTGGTTTTAACAATGGTTTCAACTGTGCTGAGTCAACAAATTTTGCTTCTGAAAGGTGGATTGATTTTGGAAAGAGAGCGCAAGTGGTAAGTCAGGATGCGATTTTTGATGTTCAGTTTCTACAATAATCCTTGCATCCATTTGAATTACATTTTCGGCTCCCTACATCTCTAGCAGGATAATTTACAATATTATTGTTATTGTGCGCTACACAAGAATACGTAAAATGGAGCTTGGGTGCTAAAGGGAACAACTTTATATCATGATTTCTTAATATTTTTTGCTGTATACAGACAATTTATTATTGAACACCAGAGAGTCATGGGCGGTTACTTTGGCGAGATGGAGACAGATGAGAAATTGCAAGCCTGAAAATGTTTCTCGGAGTAGTCTAATACACACGAACGATACGATTTGTCAACTGAAGGTATTAACGATATGGTCCGTACCATCTGTATAAACAATGAAAGCAGGAGTCGATCTGTTGATGATGTGTGACCGGCTATTGATGCGTTAAATTATATTTCGTGTGTTACGTGGCATATTTTAGTTGGAGTTTTTAGCCTCGGCTGTTTCTTTATGAAGTGCTCAACCCGTGCTTGTAGAATGAGGTATATATGTCTGATTTAAGTCCTTGTTACCTCTCCATATTTATAACCAGGTTGCCTGCTTCGGCAAGCGTGTTTATTTATCAGTTTTACAAGATGAAATACGAGTTTAAGTTCCTTGTTTCGGCTCTGTAGTTATTTCCGCGTTGCCTGCTTCGGCTTTCGTATTTATTTATCAGTTTTACAGCTAAAATACAGCGTGGTGGCGATAAAACGAAGTATACAGGCTGCACATGTTTTTTTTTTATTGCAACAGTAACATTACATTACAATACAAATATTACCTACACTACTTACACTGCTGATATGACTTACGATTTAACAATACTAAAACAACTTACAATACTAACATTATTTACAATTTACTAATATCTTACATTACTTGCATGTAGGTAGCTACAATAGGTGGCTTTCTTCCATGGATGTTTAAGTTTCTTGTTTCATCTCTAGGTTTATTTGCAGGTTATCCTCTTCAGCTTGTGTGTTTACTCTGGTTGTGTTGTTAGCGAGCCTTTTCACGTCTCCTTGTGAGATGCAATTAGTGGATCGTGAACGATCCGTCTACCGCTTTCACCGTCCGCACCATTTGAACGAATCGACAAAACGTTCAGGGAGGTTAAACACCAGGAACCTAGACAATCTAGTGAACCAAGCAAAATTCAACCAAATACTAGGTTACGAGTAGTCGGTTTTTATTCCTGAAATCTTCCGTGCGCGGAGCTTAGTTAATTTTAGGCAAATTAAGGAAAGAAACACACTCCAGAAACTTAACTTGTCGCACGCTAGGAAAAGAAAGAGACTGCTCGCAGTGTATCCAAATACAGAAAGATTGTTAAACCAATCACACAGTGCAGTAATGGAAAACCAAAGCGAATGCAAGTTCTTTGGACACTTGAGTGAAAGTCGCTCAAAGATTGTTGTTCCATTGGTGCACAAAAAAAAATGCTTGAACCTTCCTTGGGAAATAAATTTTGGATTAGTGACTGTGGTATTATATGCCTTCTTACTGCTTCTCAGCTTTGGTACGACTTGATTGTTGTTGTTGTTTTTTTCAGTGTATGTGTAAGAAAGACACGGTCAAGATCTGTATGGATGTCTTTGTAAAGACATTTCAGGTGAGCATCAGAAATTCCTCACTTAGATTACTTTCTATTAACCTCAGACCTTATCCTCCGAACAGAAAAGATTCCATTGTACAACATTTTGGACTTGACGTGATTCCGTACTTACAGACTGAGAAGAAATCGGCTATTTTAACACAAGTGAACAATCAACGCATTGTTTGAGTTAGAGCGGTTTTCAATTGAGTGTCGTGAATCCAAAACTAATGTAATTACTCTAGCCAATCACAAAGGACGCAGACAATACAGCGAACCAATTAAAACTCGAAGTCATTGCTTGTAGCTGACACGAAGCGCGGGAAAACGAGGACGCGTATGTTAGGATTGGTTTTGGTTTTACTTCTGATTGGATGAAAAGTGGGCGCGCGTTGTATAAAGCCATTCGTGAAGCCTAATTGATCCAAAACCGCTCTGTTGACACGTAGACTTGAATAGTTCCTTCGAAAGACTGTTTGATAATGTAGTGTGGAAAGTCTAGAAAAATATTCTTAATGAATTGCCTTATGAATACAATCAGTGCGAATATCACAAGTAGCAAGTAATTTTTTCGTTTATGGAAGAAAAGACCAAAATAAAAGTTTCCTGTGATGGATAAACACCAAAGAGGCAAAAAGGAAGAACGATGGTGAAAGTAGCTCATCGCGATATTTTGAGCCTTATTTTGGCCAACAAATTACCTTTAAATGGAAGGAAACGTGAAAATAGTAGTTCACTAAGATAGAAAAACACCAAATAGACAATAATAAATCATAAAGGAACAAGGATGGTTAAGGATGGAGAAGATAAACACGGATTACAATCGACGAACTTGAAAAATTTAGGGTAAACTTTTCAAAATGCCTAAACCGTGACGTACTCCTTAAAGACTGGGGACGATTGAGAACGGAAACTTCTTGTAATTGTTAATGATCAGATGATGATTTGCAGCCTGACAAGTGGGAAGAGTATCTTAAATCCAAACACAAAGACAGCAGTGACACTGAAGAGGAGGAAAGTGACGACGAAGAAGGCAACGACAGCAAGAAAGGCGAAAAGGATAAAACGAATAGGAAACAGAAAACCAAGTTTGAAGGAATAGATATTGATGATGATATTCCTCTTTCCAAATGGAAGGATGCATTAGCAAGGTAAACAACTTGTTCGTTCGGTAANGTATGATTACATGTATATCGTGGTGTGCTTTGTTATTTTGTCCCCCTCTGTGATGTCTGGAAGTTGTCTGCATTCAATCCTGCTTGCCTTACATCCAGCACCTATCTTTGGTTTCAGTAACACTAAACAACCACAGTAAAGCTTTAAGTTTAACTTCAATGGATTTTCCACTAGTGTACTGTTTGAGCATATAATACAACTGGGAGTATCTCTTCAAGACTGACTCCTGCAAAGGATGCTTGTCCATCACATGGTTAGCCCCTAGCTCTTACATAGCTGGTACTCTGTGAAAGTATATTGTCTTGCTCAGGAACATAACACAATGATGCCTGCAAGGGTTCGAACACAGATTTCTTAATCCTAGTCAAGCACAATATCTGTAAGGTTGCAGTGCCTTGTCTGCCTGTTTATAGTTATTGAATGCTTCATGAGGTATCACTGCTCAATTTTAACACTTACATTTTTTGTGTTTTCTGTCAAATGTTGTAAAACTGTTGTAAAAGGATCAATCACATTAGCCAATCTAAACTTTACAGTGTTGCCCGTACTGACAAGGACACATTGTTTTTTGTGCATTAAGTGTCCTGAGCTAATAATGAGAAAAAATATATAATGAGCACCTTTCACTGGATGATCAAAAATAGTGGTGTAACCAGACTGTAGATTAGCACAGTGTAGTTGAGAAGAAACTACTACTACAATGTACATAGATTCTAGAAATTGTTTTTCACTGAAACTTTCGATAACTTGGGTTTTGCAGATCACACAAGAAGCTGGCGAATTCATGATTACATTTCCTTATGGCTACCATTGTGGTTTTAACAATGGTTTCAACTGTGCTGAGTCAACAAATTTTGCTTCTGAAAGGTGGATTGATTTTGGAAAGAGAGCGCAAGTGGTAAGTCAGGATGCGATTTTTGATGTTCAGTTTCTACAATAATCCTTGCATCCATTTGAATTACATTTTCGGCTCCCTACATCTCTAGCAGGATAATTTACAATATTATTGTTATTGTGCGCTACACAAGAATACGTAAAATGGAGCTTGGGTGCTAAAGGGAACAACTTTATATCATGATTTCTTAATATTTTTTGCTGTATACAGACAATTTATTATTGAACACCAGAGAGTCATGGGCGGTTACTTTGGCGAGATGGAGACAGATGAGAAATTGCAAGCCTGAAAATGTTTCTCGGAGTAGTCTAATACACACGAACGATACGATTTGTCAACTGAAGGTATTAACGATATGGTCCGTACCATCTGTATAAACAATGAAAGCAGGAGTCGATCTGTTGATGATGTGTGACCGGCTATTGATGCGTTAAATTATATTTCGTGTGTTACGTGGCATATTTTAGTTGGAGTTTTTAGCCTCGGCTGTTTCTTTATGAAGTGCTCAACCCGTGCTTGTAGAATGAGGTATATATGTCTGATTTAAGTCCTTGTTACCTCTCCATATTTATAACCAGGTTGCCTGCTTCGGCAAGCGTGTTTATTTATCAGTTTTACAAGATGAAATACGAGTTTAAGTTCCTTGTTTCGGCTCTGTAGTTATTTCCGCGTTGCCTGCTTCGGCTTTCGTATTTATTTATCAGTTTTACAGCTAAAATACAGCGTGGTGGCGATAAAACGAAGTATACAGGCTGCACATGTTTTTTTTTTATTGCAACAGTAACATTACATTACAATACAAATATTACCTACACTACTTACACTGCTGATATGACTTACGATTTAACAATACTAAAACAACTTACAATACTAACATTATTTACAATTTACTAATATCTTACATTACTTGCATGTAGGTAGCTACAATAGGTGGCTTTCTTCCATGGATGTTTAAGTTTCTTGTTTCATCTCTAGGTTTATTTGCAGGTTATCCTCTTCAGCTTGTGTGTTTACTCTGGTTGTGTTGTTAGCGAGCCTTTTCACGTCTCCTTGTGAGATGCAATTAGTGGATCGTGAACGATCCGTCTACCGCTTTCACCGTCCGCACCATTTGAACGAATCGACAAAACGTTCAGGGAGGTTAAACACCAGGAACCTAGACAATCTAGTGAACCAAGCAAAATTCAACCAAATACTAGGTTACGAGTAGTCGGTTTTTATTCCTGAAATCTTCCGTGCGCGGAGCTTAGTTAATTTTAGGCAAATTAAGGAAAGAAACACACTCCAGAAACTTAACTTGTCGCACGCTAGGAAAAGAAAGAGACTGCTCGCAGTGTATCCAAATACAGAAAGATTGTTAAACCAATCACACAGTGCAGTAATGGAAAACCAAAGCGAATGCAAGTTCTTTGGACACTTGAGTGAAAGTCGCTCAAAGATTGTTGTTCCATTGGTGCACAAAAAAAAATGCTTGAACCTTCCTTGGGAAATAAATTTTGGATTAGTGACTGTGGTATTATATGCCTTCTTACTGCTTCTCAGCTTTGGTACGACTTGATTGTTGTTGTTGTTTTTTTCAGTGTATGTGTAAGAAAGACACGGTCAAGATCTGTATGGATGTCTTTGTAAAGACATTTCAGGTGAGCATCAGAAATTCCTCACTTAGATTACTTTCTATTAACCTCAGACCTTATCCTCCGAACAGAAAAGATTCCATTGTACAACATTTTGGACTTGACGTGATTCCGTACTTACAGACTGAGAAGAAATCGGCTATTTTAACACAAGTGAACAATCAACGCATTGTTTGAGTTAGAGCGGTTTTCAATTGAGTGTCGTGAATCCAAAACTAATGTAATTACTCTAGCCAATCACAAAGGACGCAGACAATACAGCGAACCAATTAAAACTCGAAGTCATTGCTTGTAGCTGACACGAAGCGCGGGAAAACGAGGACGCGTATGTTAGGATTGGTTTTGGTTTTACTTCTGATTGGATGAAAAGTGGGCGCGCGTTGTATAAAGCCATTCGTGAAGCCTAATTGATCCAAAACCGCTCTGTTGACACGTAGACTTGAATAGTTCCTTCGAAAGACTGTTTGATAATGTAGTGTGGAAAGTCTAGAAAAATATTCTTAATGAATTGCCTTATGAATACAATCAGTGCGAATATCACAAGTAGCAAGTAATTTTTTCGTTTATGGAAGAAAAGACCAAAATAAAAGTTTCCTGTGATGGATAAACACCAAAGAGGCAAAAAGGAAGAACGATGGTGAAAGTAGCTCATCGCGATATTTTGAGCCTTATTTTGGCCAACAAATTACCTTTAAATGGAAGGAAACGTGAAAATAGTAGTTCACTAAGATAGAAAAACACCAAATAGACAATAATAAATCATAAAGGAACAAGGATGGTTAAGGATGGAGAAGATAAACACGGATTACAATCGACGAACTTGAAAAATTTAGGGTAAACTTTTCAAAATGCCTAAACCGTGACGTACTCCTTAAAGACTGGGGACGATTGAGAACGGAAACTTCTTGTAATTGTTAATGATCAGATGATGATTTGCAGCCTGACAAGTGGGAAGAGTATCTTAAATCCAAACACAAAGACAGCAGTGACACTGAAGAGGAGGAAAGTGACGACGAAGAAGGCAACGACAGCAAGAAAGGCGAAAAGGATAAAACGAATAGGAAACAGAAAACCAAGTTTGAAGGAATAGATATTGATGATGATATTCCTCTTTCCAAATGGAAGGATGCATTAGCAAGGTAAACAACTTGTTCGTTCGGTAAACAAAAAGGGTGGGTCGCCCCCCCCCCCCCCCCCCCCCGCGCTCCCCGAAATTCATTTTGCATGTCAGGCGAAAATTTCGAATAAAGTAATGTATATGCCTAAGTAGCCACTTCTTGCGAATAATTTTCAATTTTCTTGAACTTGTCCAAAAGACATCAATTCAGTAGAATGTTAACATTGCGTGGTATTTGGCATACAAAGTTCTTATCAATGAGTTTGTTTCTTGTTTCTTGTTTTATTTTTGCCATTTATGAACATAATAACAACACGTGTCTATAATGTATATTATAGACAAGGAAGCCCAGAGAAGCCAATAAGGCTTATGTAAAGGACTACCTTAAACACCTAAGTCTTAACAAGAGAATAGAAATGCTGTCATCGGCACGCAAAATGATCATAATTTAGGATTAACAGTAGTTAAGAAAAATTAAACGCGCGAATGCGCAAAAGCAAAGGAAGGAAAAAAAATAAAACTTTGATTAAGCTTTCGAGACGTCTTCGTGTACTTGACAACGTGAAATTTTTCAGGTGGTGAAGGTTGCGACTCCCACAACTGCTACTTCTATAATTTACATTGGATTTTATTGTGTTATTGTACCCTAGGAAGTCTTTACAGCCGCGGAAGCCAGCAGCTAAGCGCCAGCCAGTGGTCACAAAATCCTTCACAGTTCCCAGCAGCGCAGGCAGACGGAAGAAAATGGAAGAAACCAAAAAAGGAAAAGGTCCTGCTACATCTTTTCGCATCTTCATGTTTTATTGCTTGTTAACAAATTTGATAGATTCTTAGAGTCCATACCTTAGCTTAGCTTGTCACGCAGGACATATTGCGTGACGCGTCAAAAGAACAACATGTTAATGGGGTTCTTTGCATCACTTAACGAAGATTTTGCAAAAGTGGGGTGTGCACCCACGAATATTGTCGACGTTGACCCGTCGGCTTGGTGCCACAAGGTTACGTCATGTATCTTAGCGACTTTTTATGACGATCGCAAGCTCGGACAGGATCTGGTTTGGAAAGGCGTTTGTTTCCGTGAGGAAATAAAAGAGAGAGAGCTCACTGATACTGCATGAAAATAAAGGCCTTAACACAGGATCAATAAATAGCTCGAAGTGTATCAAGGCACTTTCCTCTCACAGTGCCTTTCTCCACCCAGGTATATAAATGGGTACCGGCGAATTTAATGCTGGGCGTAACCCTGCGATGGACTGGCATTCCATCCAGGGGGTAGTAGAAATACTCCTAGTTGCTTCATGCCACTGAAAGCGGGATAAGCTCAGGCTTGATGGGCCACTTGACTCGTATGCAGACTTTACCTCATTGTATCAAAGGTACAAAAGCTCTTGTGACAACTTCGTGTTTTCTACGACTGTAACGTCCTCCAACACGACGCTCTTTGAACTTTTAGTACACTCTTCGCGTCAAAGAGTGTCTGCATCGGAGACTATGATTGTATCAAAGGCGAGTCAACTTTAATGTCGTGCAAACATGGCCTATGAGAGCAGGCTATCTTTGATAATTGAGGCCAGCAAATGTCCACAAAGGGCCCCTTTGTGAGCATTTGTTCTTGAAAGGGGTCTTTACCTTTATCCTTGATGGAACAGTGCTTGTGTACTTAGTAGTTGGTTCTCTCACCTTTCAGGTCGTAAACGTCTTGACGGCAAAAACAGAAGTACATCATATAAAGTTCTCTCTAGTATTCTTGACGGGCTGTGGCAACATCAACTACCGAATTTTGAAATGGAGCAGGGTTTTAACATTGTCTCCTCACAACTTGAGCCTCGTTGTTCAGTGTGTAGCTTCTTTTCTAAATCAGAGGTGAGGAAACCCTAGGAAAAAGAGGGAAGAGGGTCCATAGCGTGTGTTTTCTTTCCCATACGACTATTGTTCAAGTATGAAGAAAAAAAAAAACTGAGCAGCCTCAGCAAGCAGTCATCTCTTTTTAATCTCGGCATTTGAGACTGGACACGAAAAATTCCATACTGATGACGTAGCTGTACAGGGATCCTTATAGCGTCTCTGATTGGTTTCTGGGTTTTGAATTTTCGTACACAAATATCAACCAATCAGAGACGCTACACGGATCTCTGGATAGTTACGTCATCAGAAGGGAATCTTTGAGAGACGTGTGTGAGGTACAACTTATTCCAAATGATTACAGCAAACACCCTGGCTGTTGTTGTTGTTTTTNAGACGGGTAAAATTTTAATTTATGCAAGCTTTCCAGTTTAATTTTCAGCTGTCAAACTGTCAACTTTTTAGCCAATGAGATTTTATGAGCTTTTTTAAGTAGCCAATCAAAAAGCGAGAAAAGCTATTGACAATGTTCGCGTCATTTTGAATAAAATTCACTTATGTTGTTTACGGCAAGTTTACGGAACCACTCGCCTGCGGCTCGTGGTTCCACAGCCACTTTGACAATGTTATGACGCAATTTATCATCAATAAGAGGACAGACGCAAAAAAATTGACGTCAATTTGTTAATCCGTTGATTAGTAGGCTGGAATTTGTTATGTAGGTAAATTGCTTCGTTTTGAATTCGTCTTAGGTTGTTATGGAGTAAGCGATGCCCCTAGTGATGGTCACTGGAAATGTCAAAGATGTCTACAAGAAGATCAAACGGCAATCGAAAGTAGTGTAAGTAGAACTGTTAGTGCATGAGAAAACACAACCGTTAGTTCTTCTTTCACTGCAAAGGCTGGCAAGTGAAGACTGTGAAAGGATTTCGTATACATTCGATAGAACAGAGTTCTTTTTTGGAATAAATGGTGCACTGCGGTGATAAACATGTCCAAAACAACGTTTGTTGAAAAAACTGATTTTAAACTTGACGTTTCGTATTCTTCCACATACATTTTCAGAAGTGACCGTTACGCTAATTTTAAAACAAGTATATTTAAATGTTGAGATGGAAGACTGGTACCTACTGAAGTTAAAATGGCCCAAAAATGACAGTGTTCACGATAAAGTTCTTTTTCTCCATGTTTGTCAAGTGCGGCTTTACTTAATCTCTAATGGTGACTTGTAACATTTTGTTTCGTAGTTTTGCTCTTTATGTAGACTAGGTGGAGGAGCTTTGAAGAAGACGACAGATAATAGGTATTGCTACCACATTAGTTGTCGAAATTCCGTGGGGAAGAACGCAAAGAAGAACGGAACACAAGTGAGCAGTCGTAAGCGTGCGAGCGTGACATGCAAAGCCGCGAGCCGCTCGTTTACCGACGCACACGTTACTCGCGGCTCGCATGTCACGCTCGCACGCTTACTTGTTTTGCGTTCATCTCCACGGATTTCCGAGCTAAAGAGAGACTTCTCGCCGTCCAAGTTGTCACCTGTATCATTATCGTTACCGTTCGCTTTTCCCGTCTCAATTGTGACTTGTTTTTTTTTTTTTATTTATTGAAGATGGGCTCATATAGGTTGTGCTGTGGCTATGCCTGAAGTTTTCTTTGTAAACGTAAATCTTAGAGAAGGAATTAACACAGATCAAATCACTTCAGCGAGAAGAAAGCTTGTAAGTAGTACAGCGTGTTCCTCATGTAGTCCCCTTTGGACAATCAATGACTGCTTATATAATTGTGTCACGCTCTGCGCTCTTCATCGCAACGACATTCTTATCTTTTTGTCACGCTCTGTTATACCTCCTGTGTCACGCTCCAATCTAGTGTTCGTAGTTCTTCTTTTCTTGTGTCACGCTCTTTTTTGTTTGTGTTATACTGTTTTCTTTTTTGTTATTTTGTTTTGTTTTTTTGCATGTATCACGCTCTTTTCTGTTGATTACGTCACATTCAGTTCTGTTACATATGACGCGCTCTCCCTGGTTTGTTTGTGTACAGAAGTGTTTTTACTGTCGATCAACGGCCAGCGGAAAGGATAATGGCGCATGCGTACAGTGTTGTGCGGGAAAGTGTGCAGTTTCCTTCCACGTGACATGCTTAGTGTTGGCGGGGTTTGCACTGGAACCGAGTGATTGGCCACAACCCACAGAAACCTACTGCGAAAGGCATCAGAGGACAAGATTTAAAGTAAGCTCCTTATGTTGTACTTGTAATAAACGGTTTTCAACTGAATAAGGATGCGAAATTGATATAGAGCGGGCACGTTTTGCTTTTTTGATTTGCCAAGGACATCAAAATTCACTTGGAAAGTTGTCGACGATTTCCCGAGGATTTTAGAATGGACCCGAAAACTTCCGAAGATTGCCGAGCGATAATCGTTTGGATTTCTAAATTATCCTTACGAGTGAGCCCACACGACAAGGAGTTAAATGGTAAGCTAAAGCAATGACTGTTTTTCTTCCTTTTTCAGGGAAAACAACGCGACTTCTCCGTCATTCATTCTGGTGAATCTGTTGTAGCAAAACACAGGAATGGAAGGTGAACAAGACTCGGTGCTAAGAAAGTGTCAACTTTGCTATGTTTTTTCGTTCTTTATCCGTCTCTATCTTCTCCAATCTTAACTATCGTCGTTCCATTTAGATTTCTTAGGTGTTGTTCTACCTTACTGAACTATTGCTTCTTTGTCGATAGTTTCTTCATTCGCATCTGTCCTATCTATGCCGTTTCAAAACATTACCAAGTACGAGAAGAAATATCCTGTTTTCGTTTCTTAACCATCTCTTTTTATTCCAGAGAAATTCAAGTTCTAAAATATGTAAACTCAACCAAATTTTGATCAAATACTGCCATTTCCAAAGCCCCTTAATACACCTTGTTTGCCCTCCAAAATTTTGCATAAGCATTGTCTTCAGTTTCTCTTGGGACGACTTTAATACCCAGGAGAAATGGGAAACAAAGGTTATGCAGAATTCTGGGGGGCAAACAAGGTTTATTATGGGGAATGTGGAAATGGCGAATGAAGAAAAAGACATCTCAACTAATTCCTATCAGAACTGTTTAATTCTGTCAAGTAAGAAGTCCTATACTAGATGTGTTCCACAATATGAGCGTAACAATTTTATAGTAAGGTTCGTATTTACCCTAGCCTCCCACGCAGACACAATTATTTAACTGGGGGTGAAGATTACGTGGGGGTTGGGGNCTACTAGATGTGTTCCACAATATGAGCGTAACAATTTTATAGTAAGGTTCGTATTTACCTTAGCCTCCTACGCCTGTTATTTAACCAGGGGTGAAGATTACCTGGGGTTTGGGGGAGGGATAGATTACGTGGGGAGCCCAAATAGCGTCAGCGTAGGAGGTTCTATTACTTCTGTTTGTGTCTGTTTCAGATATTACCACGGTGTGGTGCAGGACACCTCAACAGAGGAGTATTACGTAGTATCTTTCGAAGACGGCACCTATTGTGATAACTTGCCACCAACTGACATTGTAGTAAGTTACTTAATACACTTGAATCACTTTAAAGGCGATTCCTCAGGAATAAGAGTTGCCGAACGATTTTTGTGAAGCTTTCCGCGAATTTTCCCTACCAAGCGCTGTCCCAGCGAAAACTGATGAATATCCGAGTGATATTCGTCAGTTTTCAAAACCGCTGGTGTTGCGAAAAATTTATGAAGGACAATTAACACAATAGCCTCCTTTTTGGCGCAAAAATATGTTCGCATATTTGTCCGCGGACATAATCTGTTCCTCAAAGCTCACAGTTTGCTTCTGGGAACAGATAATGTCCGTGGAAAGTATCCGTGCATATTTTTGCGCCAAATGGAGGCTATTGTTTATATCATGGTAATTTTTGTAGAGCCACGACAGCACAAGAGATGATATTCCTGCGGGAACGGCGGTGCGAGTCAAGTGGGGCGAGGACGAAGACATATTTCAAGCGAGAGTTACTGGACGAAGAATAAGCGTCACATATCAGGTAAGTTAAGAAATTGTCTAGGATGAACTAAGATAAGTAAGAGGGGACCCTGAAATATCGCCCTGGGCCGGTCTTTCTTGTACGGACCTCGCCTCGTTCGATCTGTGTCAGAAAGAACTCGTTCTCCCAGTAAGGCCCTCGTGTTCGAATATAGAGTTTTATAATAAGGCTTACAGCAAACGGGACACAGCACAAATTGCTTGATGTTCCTTGTTTCCCGTCGAATCCTTTTGAATAAGTCCAACACAAATATAGAAAAAAAAGCTATTCCCAGGAATTTTAAAACATTCTCACTTTAATGTTCAAAAGACGTTTGCCCATAGGCGTACGAGCTGCGGGAGGGGCGAGGGGCGCTGCAGCCCCCACAGCTACGAAAATTACGTAATATTTCGGGCAAAACGCTCATGATTCGGGCGACGACACTTGAGAGAAAACATTACAAAATAATGCTGTTGATGTGATTTCCAAAATTCGTAAAACAAAGGTTCCTACTTTTCATGTCTCTGTGTTATTAGATCCCCGACCGGGCGTCTGTAGGCCGTCGAGTGGTTTCTTAAAAGAGTTGGTACTTAGGGTAGTACCGTGTAAAGTGTACCATTTCTATCATAGTTAGTGTTTGTATCTGCTGCTGATCTGAAGTGTCGTTGCGCACCGAGGACACCATGGTAATCAGTTGGGACAACGGCCTTTCCTTTCCTTTCCGGCCTTTCCTTTTAGGTTTCAAGGCTTGTAATCTACTTTCTCTGACATTTGCTTTGCAAAAAGGACTTAGACTGAAATGATATGAGTGACCTGGGGTTTTCTGTTAGTTACAAGTCGGTTAAGTGTGTATCGTGGAATATTACTTTCTTTCCCAATTTTCCATCGACAAAACAAGTACACGAATCAAAGCGAACGAAGACCAAATATTGTAATGTCTTAACGATGGGGTGTTACAATTTTTTCTCTTGAATTTTTCTTTGGAGGTGTTTCCCTAGTACGTCCATGGTGTTTACTATCTTATTTACGTAGCTTTTGAATTCATAGAAAGCTTGCAGTGTACGCTGCAAGTCTGCTGTGGCCGAAACAAGACGACTTCTAGTAAAACCTCGTATTGTTCTTTGAACGTTTCGAGTATGTCGATAGGCTTTTGTACATTATGCTGGCATTTTTTAGACCATTTTAGTGAAACCAAAGCATTAAGCATTATTCGACCATTTTAGTGGCATTTTCCCGGAAAATTAATTTTTTTCCAGGTACAGAAAATAGAAATAAAAATTATTTTGCGAGAAAATGAACTGAGACTTGAGATTGAAAAAGATTGAAAAAGTCCAAATGCCACCGATAAAACCGAGTAGAGAAATCAAATTAAAAGATCGTTATTAAAACTGTTACATACGTTGAGTTATACTACGTATACGGTTTTTAAGCACCTTGAGCTGTTAATTGTGTTATAACGTTAAAATTATTAAAATTTAAAAACCCTATGTATGAGCATTAACCGAGCATTTTAAGTGACTTTTTGGGGGGAGACCGTGCATTTTAGTGGAAAAAATGGAGCATTAAGGTGGAGCACTTAAGTGGGGAAATAAAGCATAATGTACAAAAGCCTACATGTCGAGACGCTCGTCTCGAATATAGGATAGCTTCTGTAACAGTGGTCCAAACGGCCCATGTCTCTGATACTGATCAGCCGATCGCTGAACGAACGCCATAAAAGGGAGAACTTTTTCTTTTGATAAGTTTTAGATTTTACTAGATTGAGACTGTTGATAGAGGTCAGTGAGTATGTAGGCTTTCAATATAACTATCGTTATGAGCGTTTTTGTTTTTCACGCATTTTGAGTGCGTTTGCATCCCGATTTCAACACTCCCGCATTCGGGCATTGCGTAATTTTTTCGGGCAAGAAGGTCACCGCCGCCCCCCTCCCTCCCCCAATTCCGAAAGTGCCCATACGCCTATGCCCGAAAGCTTTAGTTACTTTGGTCACGGCGCACATTTACTTTCTATTTATTGTACTTTTTTTGTTTCTGTGTTCTTGTTGAACGTGCATGAGCAAAACAACTCCTGCATCACGAGGTTCTGTTACATTCAGACTGTTAATAAATTAATTACCAAAGGTGAAAAGCGAGACGCGAAACAACCGCGTGACAGCACCCAGACAATAGTGAAACGCGATAGCCACATAAAGGCAGGCATATTGTAGTAACGATCGAAGCGACGTCGTGACAATGAGACGACCACATTTTTAACGGAGATCAACGAAAAGTACATTGCATCACAATCGTGGCGCAGAAAGAAAACTAACAAGACGACAACAGGCAAGTTTATTCTACTCTTTTATTTCTGTTTTTAGATTACATAATATGAGCGTATGCAACTCACAAATAAGCGTGTAGGTTTCCTAATACGTGGCAATGGCCGTCTTCTCTCTAAAACAATCACTCGAAATTACTAGTGCCCAGTCTACTTCTCAGACTACTCATGCTCGCAAAGATCTGTCACGTCACATCACGTCCTCAAACCCTCAAGATAGTAGCCGACTACATGGGATTATGCAATAATTGCAGACTCCCACAAAAATTGGGTAAAGCGGGAGGGAAGGGGGTTAATAGAGAGGAGGAGGGTGTTACTAAATATCTCCACTCCAAAGAGAAGAGAGGCGAGGCTTAATAAAACTCAAGGTTAACTGCCATTCTTGAAGTCACTGATTCAAGAATAGAGCTCCACTTTCCAAGTGGAAGAATACGACAAATGTATGTCCGTAGTTTGGTAATATTGCAATCATTTACCAGAAAATCAAATCGAAATCGGTCACTGGGACAACATGTCCTCCACCCCTAAATTATCCGATATCACCTCTCAGCCGGAGCTTTTCTTAGCTTGCGCGTGTGTCCGTGCGATAAATCAATGCACAGTCTTGAATGTTTTCTTTATTTAGCTATTATGAAACAAATATAAAAATAAAAGCTGTAACCCAACGGTAGATCGTTTTCAATTTTTCTTATACAGACCAATTTGGCAAATGTGAAGCAACCACAATGTACGACACCTGCAAACGTCGTTTTGGGGCCGTGCTGCAACCAAAGAGGATTTGTGTGATGTGACGCTCACGCGGAAGCTCCAGCGAGGAGTCCAAATTGGCGCGAAATTCCAAAAAACAAGCAATCTAAAATGGCGCGAGTCCAAAATGGTCGAGAAATCTCAAATGACCTGCACTAGCGAAAAGACGTTGGTGCAGCGTAGTTCATGTCACTTTCCCTTTAAAACTCAGCGTTAATACAAGCTAAACAGCTCTTGCTGAAGATAAACAATTATTCGTAGAGACTTCAAATACAAAATGGAAGAGCTTTAGAAGATACGAAAAACGCCCTCCCCAACAAATTTGCATCATCCTTTATCTCCTTGAATAACAGTCAACAAAAATAATTTTAATATTCATCATAGCTTATTTCACCACAATGTTTTTTATATTGTAATCACCCTAAAACGATTATAAATTATTTTGTAACTAATCTTAATAAACACAAACACAGCATCAGGGGTGCGCATCTCGTTTATTGATACAGGATACAGCGAGCGTTACATCATCATAAAGTAAATAGAGCAATGAATAAACAGAAAAATTGAAAAGAAAAGTTGAAAGAGATGCCTTCGAGTGGCTCTTGCATA